GGGCGAGAATTAGAGGGTGCCTTGGGCCGGCCTTGACACGGAGCGAGGGACTTCGGGAAATCATGGCCCCCCTGACGGACCCCGCCGTGACAATCCATTACAAAGTTTTTTAAAACAATTTCCACTATTAACAGATAACATTGGAACATTAAAGCAAGCATTAAATCCTGCTTGAACATGCGTCTAGAAATTGTATGATAGCAATAATATATTATATTATATGATATTAATAGCATTTTAAGACTGTTGCTATTAATAGGTAAATCCTGCAGTAAATTTTTTGACAGTGTTTTGGGGGGTGGTCATCGTGTATTTGTTATACAATAATATATTTTTGCATGTTTTATATAAAACTGAAACTACAAAGATACTATTTTTGTTCTTTTACAGATATCAAGTACTTGCATTTGCAACAGATGCTGATGAAAGACAGGAGACAGAGCAGCAAAAACATAGTTCTGGAAAAAGACTTGTGGTGAGACCTGTTGGTTTTACAGAAAATATACTATTAAAACATACTATTTACTTTTTACGTAAAACATACATAAAGCTATACTGTATATACGTAAAAAGAGGAAAGATGTAGTTTCACTAGGAGTGGGCAAGTGGGACACCAGCCCTGGGCACTGACTTAGAGAAAAGGTTTGATGGCTGCTGATGCTGGCTGTCTAGCCACCACTACTGGTCAGGGCACAAAAATGATTTGTTACACTTTTAGAGAGAAGACTAACTGAAAAACTGAGACAGTGTCTGGTCACTAATAACCTAAATTAACTTCCAAGAAAGATAATGAAAAGACTCCAATACATTTTATTTGGATTAAGTCCTAAATATTTATCATGTTCTCTGTTTTGTAGGATCATAAGAAAAAAGGGACCTCAGGAGGTCATCTAGTCCAGCTCCCTGCTCAAGGCAGGATTATCCCTGATTAAACTATCCCAGTCAAATGTTAGACTAATCTGATCTTGAAAATTTCCAGAAATGGAGATTCTGCAATTTCTCTAGGTAGCTTGTTCCATTGCTTGACCACTTGCACTTTCAAAAAGTTCCTCCTAATCTGCAATTTAAACCTCCTCCCCTGCATCTTGAGGCCATTATTCCTACCTTTACGAAAGGAGAAATTAACAGTGAAAGGGACTAATTTCTTATTAATGTTTGTCCATTTCAAAGGTTAAGTTGGAATGTGGTAAACTATTTGAGCAACATTTTAAGGGTGCGTTTTTAATTTGCATATTTTAAAATTTGAATTAAAAAACTTACATGATATGTTGCTTAGCAAATATTTCCTTTAATATTTTCATTAAAAGATTTGGGGTTTATTTTTCCTGGTTTCCCCAGTTGTGTTGCATGGTTAAGGAATGGTAAAAATTCCATGATCATTCCAGTCAACCTGAAAATAAACTCTGTATTTATCCAATGTACAAGACCTTATTTTCTCAGAAATGAAGTTATCAGAGTAAGGTGCATTTTGTGCAACAAAACTCTACAAGAAAAAATTGAAATCTTTTTGATAAAGGTTGACAAATTTAATCAAATTTAATGTGAAAACCTTCTCCCACAATGTCATTCTCTTTTTGCGGGGTGTCTCTTCACAGGTGCATCTTATAAACAAGAAAATACTGCACCAAATGTGGAAATAATTGTTGCAAATATTTTACTACTCCCATCCAAAACATTTCTCCCATTTTATCTTCACCAGCATTTTTGCAAATTCATTTTAAGTAGACTGAACTGTCGTCATATGTCTTTTGATACTGGTATTACTGTGATATGATCCTTAATTTATGTCTTTTTATTCCTTTTAAAGGTGGATTGGGTTTTAAATATTGGAGAGCAAGCACTGGATATACGTGTTGTCTCTTTTAATCAGATGGTTTCCTCTCTTTTTGTGCTTGGTGAGAGAAACTTCTTTTGCCTTAAGGATAATGGGCAAATTCGATTCATGAAAAAACTTGATTACAGTCCAAGTTGCTTCCTTCCTTATTGTTCAGGTTTGTAAAAGAAACATTTAACTCAGAAGCTTTGGCTTCGTTATGCTTAAAGCTAAGATTTTTTTTTCACGGGGAAAAATACCTTTATAAATATATTCTGGATTAATAGAAAAGTTTACGTAAAATTCAAAATAGTACCTTCCATTTTTTAACTGAATCATACTTCTTTTTTTTAGCGAATATACAGTGGAAATATTGTTCCCCTCCCTCCCCCCCCTTTTTTTTTTCTTTACCAAGATTAGGGTGTGCAGGTTCAAGACAGCCAAGAGCAATAAATTATTCAGGGCTCTTTTGAACCAAGCATACAAGAACTGGCAGCATACATTGACTAACATTTTGTGAACTGATTTGATTTGGTGGCTTATTAGTATAAAGTTTATTTGTCAGATTGACTTGGATCATTATTAACAATCTATAGTTATATATTGGTGCCAAAATTACCTCCCCAGAATATTCCAGAAGAAGGTCACTGTTGCGTGGTATAAATTAAATTGCAACAAGTTTATTTTTAAGTTCTGGATAACTTTTAACATTGTATATTAAGTTCATTTATTTGAATTTTGTAAATAGTATCATAGTAATTTTTATTTACTTTTTAAATTTCTGGCTTAAAATTACATTTTTATTACCATATTTACTAGAATACAAGATGACCCTGAATGTAAGATGACCCCCCCCCCGCCCAGTAATTAGATTCCACACAGAAAATTTATGAATTTATTATAATTTTCCATGTTTGGATTCTAATTATTGGAGGATTTTAAATTTGTTTGTCACCCCCCTCCCCACTACTGCAGGTGGTGGGGGGAGAGGTGATGAGGGGGGGCATTAATGGGGTAGGCAGTGGGAGACAGAGTGGTGGAGGCAGTAGGGCAGATGAGAGGGCAGCTTGGCCCATGCTCCCTGTTTCCATCCCACTTACCCTCCCCCATTGTGCCTGCTCTCTCCCCCCCGACTTGGGCTGACTCAATTTCCCCCTCCAATCTCTGTGCTACTTCTGCTACCCATGACCTCAGGTCCCCACTCTCCTTCCTCCTTTCACTGCTCCTCCACCCGTCCTCCCTGCTTGCCTTTGCTCCGTGCCAGCAGGCTTCATCTCTGCTGCATCTTGAGACATGGAGTGTGACTCCAGCCTGCACCCTAGCAGTGGTCTGAAGCTGGCATTGCTGTTCCAGGCTGGCCCTGCTGCTGTGGTGGGAAGCCAGGCCTGCTGCTATGGGGCTGGCCTAGAACAGCAGTGCCAGCTCTGTGCCACTGCTATGGGGGCTGGGCTGGAGCCACACTCCATGCCCTTGGCTGCAGCAGGGACTGAGCCTACCAGTGTGGAGACAACAGTAAGGAGGAGTGGGGCAGAGATGGAGAGAGAGGGAGAAGTGACATTGGGGAAGACTGGGACTGTGGGGG